ATCCTGCATTTTTCCACCCCCCCATCTCCAGAATTCCCCGTTTTCCCTCAAAATTTCCCACCCCATTCCCAAAATTCCCCATTTTCCCACCCCATTCCCAGAATTGTTTTCCCCGTTTTCCCACCCCATTCCCAAAATCCCAAATTTCCCCTCACAATTTCCAACCCCAATTCCCAAATTCCCAATTTCCCCTCATGATTTTCACCTCCCAGTCCCAGAATCCTCCATTTTCCCCTCACAATTTCCAACCCCAATTCCCAGAATCCCCCATTTTCCCACCCCATTCCCAAAATTCCCCTCACAATTTCCACTTCCATTCCCAAAATTCCCCATTTCCCCTCACAATTCCCCAAAATTCCCCATTTCCCCTCACAATTCCCACTCCCATTCCCCAAATCCCCAATTTCACCTCACAATTCCCACTCCCATTCCCAAAATTCCCCATTTCCCCTCACAATTCCCACTCCCATTCCCCAAATCCCCAATTTCACCTCACAATTCCCACTCCCATTCCCAAAATTCCCAATTTCCCCTCACGATTTTCACCTCCCATTCCCAGAATCCTCCATTTTCCCCTCACAATTCCCACTCCCATTCCCCGAATCCTCCATTTTCCTCTCACAATTCCCCCAAATCCTCCATTTTCCCCTCACGATTTTCACCTCCCATTCCCAGAATCCTCCATTTTACCACTCCATTCCCAGAATCCCCCATTTCCCCTCACAATTCCCCAAATCCCCCATTTCCCCTCATAATTCCCCAAAATCCTCCATTTTCCCCTCACAATTCCCACTCCCATTCCCAAAATTCCCCATTTCCCCTCACAATTTACACTCCTATTCCCAAAATCCCGGATTTCCCCTCACGATTTCCAACCCCAATTCCCAGAATCCCCCATTTTCCCCTCACAATTCCCCAAAATTCCCCATTTCCCCTCACAATTTCCACTCCCATTCCCAGAATCCTCCATTTTCCCCTCACAATTCCCACTCCCATTCCCCAAATTCCCCATTTCCCCTCACAATTTACACCTCCCATTCCCAAATTCCCCATTTCCCCTCACAATTCCCCAAAATCCCCCATTTCCCCTCACGATTTCCATCTCCCATTCCCAGAATCCTCCATTTTCCCCTCACGATTCCCACTCCATTCCCAGAATCCTCCATTTCCCCTCACGATTCTTTCCCAAATTTCCCGTTTTTTCCCTCTTTTCCCACCTTCTCGTCCCACTGGAAGTCGGGAGCGATGGTGAGCTCCCTCACGACTTTCACCTCCCATTCCCAGAATCCTCCATTTTCCCCTCACGATTCCCACTCCATTCCCAGAATCCCCCATTTCCCCTCACGATTTTCACCTCCCATTCCCAGAATCCCCCATTTCCCCTCACAATTCCCAGAATCCTCCATTTTCCCCTCACGATTTCCACCTCCCACTCCCAGAATTCCCCTCACGATTTCCAACCCCAATTCCCAGAATCCCCCATTTTCCCCTCACAATTCCCCAAAATTCCCCATTTCCCCTCACAATTTCCACCTCCCATTCCCAGAATCCCCCATTTCCCCTCACAATTCCCACTCCCATTCCCAAAATTCCCCATTTCCCCTCACGATTTCCACCTCCCATTCCCAGAATCCCCCATTTCCCCTCACAATTCCCAGAATCCCCCATTTCCCCTCACGATTTCCATCTCCCATTCCCAGAATCCTCCATTTTCCCCTCACGATTCCCACTCCATTCCCAGAATCCTCCATTTCCCCTCACGATTCTTTCCCAAATTTCCCGTTTTTTCCCTCTTTTCCCACCTTCTCGTCCCACTGGAAGTCGGGAGCGATGGTGAGCTCCACCTTGAGCGTGGAGCGGGTGATGGGCTGCAGGTGAACCGACAGCTCCAGCTTCGGGAACAGGTGAACGTATTTGTGGATGGTTTTCCCCATTTTCGGCATCCGGATCAGCTCCCCTGAGAGGCGGGAAAAAAACAACGGGATCAGGGCGGAATTCCCAGAAAAAATGGGATTATGAGGGGGAAAATTCCCAGAAAAAATGGGATTATGAGGGGGAGAATTCCCAAAAAAATCAGGGTGGGGTCAGGGCGGAATTCCCAGAAAAAATGGGATTATGAGGGGGGAAAATTCCAGAAAAAATGGGATTATGAGGGGGAGAATTCCCTAAAAAATCAGGGTGGGGTCAGGGCGGAATTCCCAGAAAAAATTGGATTATGAGGGGGAGAATTCCCAAAAAAAATGGGATTATGAGGGGGAGAATTCCCGAAAAAATCAGGGTGGGGTCAGGGCGAAATTCCCAGAAAAAATGGGATTATGAGGGGGAGAATTCCCAAAAAAATCAGGGTGGGGTCAGGGCGGAATTCCCAGAAAAAATGGGATTATGAGGGGGGAAAATTCCAGAAAAAATGGGATTATGAGGGGGAGAATTCCCTAAAAAATCAGGGTGGGGTCAGGGCGGAATTCCCAGAAAAAATTGGATTATGAGGGGGAGAATTCCCAAAAAAAATGGGATTATGAGGGGGAGAATTCCCGAAAAAATCAGGGTGGGGTCAGGGTGAAATTCCCAGAAAAAATGGGATTATGAGGGGGAAAATTTCCAGAAAAAATGGGATCATGAGGGGGAGAATTTCCAGAAAAAATGGGATTATGAGGGGGAGAATTCTTTAAAAATAATGGAATTTCATCCCGGATTTTTGGGATTTCAGCCCAGATTTTGGCAATTTCACCCCAAATTTTTGGGATTT